TAATTCATTTCTTGGTCAATTGACCATTTTGCCCTTTATTTCCTTTAATAATTACTAAATAACCTTCATCATATAATCCAATAATCATTGAACTATTTCATTCTTCTACTTTAGTCACCAAATTCTAAAATTTTACAATTTGGTCACTAACCCGGTATTGCGGATGTTACACGTGATGATGAATTAAACCATATAACTGTCATTCACCTGTACACCATATACAATCCCATGATTTACCCAAGGGAGTGCATTAGGGCCTGAGAGCCTACCCAAGAAAGTTTCTCGGAGCCTCGGAGCCTACCCAAGGGTCACCTTAGGTATGTAAGGATTGACCAGCTTGATCAGAGCTGAACCTCCATACTCCGACCTACCTATATAATGTCCCAATAAAATAATTCAAGTATTAACCAGTATATTCCATGATCCATAAATCAAGAATGATTATATTTTCAAGTGAAAACATGAAATCAGAGAACACATATCATGTGTCCATAGTTCATTAACAGTAAATTAAAACATCAGTGAATCTGTAATTTCAAAAAATTATATTTTAAAAAAGGTAAAACAATTACATTTCACATAGGGAACACACTATATGATCCAATTATTCTTCGGATGTATTTGGTATTTATTAGATATAAAACCATGAAACTTTTATAAATTGATAGGATTTCATAATCAATACCCTATAAAAAGGGGTTTGATAACTGACATATTCATTAGTCATTCGGTTATTTTTCAGAGGCAATTGATCGTTAGCAGGAAGGATAAACATATTACTTCTATAGGTTTGAAGGAATTCATATTCGAGGTCCCTATATATAAAAAAGATTCGTTCATTATCAGATCTAGTCAACATTCGAAAATTGATGTTTCAAGAATCATTTAAGAATTTGAGTGTATTAAAAAGGTACTCAGGAACCTTACATCAGACTTTTTTAAGATCTATATATAACATGATTGTTTCCATTATTCAGGAAAATAAGGATAATTTAGACATTTTAATTTCTAATGGATTCTTATTAGATTAATCCAATAAGGGTGAAATGATGATTCATGTCGATTTATCAGTATATCGAGTCATCTCGAACCTAACAAATCCCAATACTGTGATATATGTCAACCAGTCAAATCGATGTGCTTCAAGGATCTTCACACTTTAATATTGAAAAATCTTATAGAACTGATCATTTTTAAAATCATTCATTAAATGGATCTTAGGAAGACAGACAAGTATTCCAATGGTAATTATTTATTTCTTTATTACAACGATATCAAGAAATGTCGACGTGCTTGATTATTGGTTCAAACCCTTATGGAAGGTACAACATATAGGTTTATCAACGTTTTCAGACTTATCTAAGTCATTAACTTAATTATAGATCTTTAAGGGTAATTAGGTCATTTAGTAGTTAATTATATCCCTATCAGTTCGGAGTTTCCAGAGTAATTGATCATTTCAACAATTTAGATACATACAACACTTTTATTCAGTTCAACCTTGTCATATAATATAATCATTTTACACTTCAAGGGTATTTTGGTCATTTTATACTTCAGGGGCAGTTCTATAATTTCATAATCAGGAATTTAATCGATGATTCCAAGGTTCAAGTGGATCAAAAATGTATGTTCTCAGGTCATCTCCATTATCATAGCCATCTATAGTCCTTTTATACTTTAAGGTATTATCGTAATTTCATTCAATTTTGTAAAGGACATTACTTCCGATAAATTAGGCTTCAAGTGTTTATTCTTGAATCAAAGTTTATAGGCCTTGTGCTTTCTCTGGGATTTAAAACTGATTATAAGATATTTCCAAATACTTTAACAAGTGCATCATAAATTTTTATCAGGTCAAAAATATAAATTCTCGGGGTAATTCCACTATCAGGATCAACACAAACCATTTTTACAACTTAAGAGTATTTTCGTAATTTCTTAATCACGTATCACCCATTTAACCTTTAAAGAAATTAATCAGAATTTTGGATTCCGAGATCAATTTATTATTACATAATTCATGAAATTAAAATTTTTTTCAATCGATCTACCAATTTCTTTTTCAAGCCGGCTGAGTCTTCTATAGTGTTCTGCCGTTATTCCATTCTCAATTTAAGTCCAATGATAATTAAATGCACCTCATGGACCAATTATTTCCATTCATGTATTTACCAATTATCAATATGTTTCAGAAAATATACAAAATGTAGTAAAATATTACCTCGATTTACGAGCCATATCAATCGACTATTTAATCTCCATTTGATCACTCTCGAACTTGAATCCAAATTGCTTAATTGAACTCAATTCCTCGGATACAAAGCAATTTAATTTACGTCAGAAACTAAACTTAATTGAAAACCCAAATTGAATTTGAAGATAAAACATTGAAAAAGGCGTACCGAGTGCGAATTTGGCAAAACGGACTTCAGAATCAGACTCAGGATGTCAAAAACATAAAATATGACTTTTCAGAAAATTTGACTTTTTGGGTCAAAGTAAACGGGTCAAAGTCAGACGAGTTGACTCGAATGAGTTGACTCAGTTCAGGTTGACTCGATCGGGTCAACTAGACCTAGTTCAGATTGGGTTGGCCGGTTCAGGCCGATCCAGATTGTTCTAGAAGAAACGTCGACTAGGGAAAAACCCTATATGCGTACGACGACGTTTGGAGGCGCGTGAAATGGGCGACGGGGGTTGGGACGATGACCAATCACTCTCAAAGGTACCCAACACCAAAATTAACCAATAACATATCATATATTAAATCGAAACAAGCTAAAATACTCAGAAAAGAATTGAATGCTTACCAAAGCAAATCTCAACGAACCAGCAACGATGGAGATATGAACCCGACTGGGTGTTGGTCGGAACAGAGAGGAGAGCCCGATGAAATTGGTGGTGAGGCTAACCGACTTTCGATTCAATCAAAAATCGTAGAAAACAATGGCCGATGATTTGGGTTTTTTGTCCTCCTTTCGAACGTTTCTCTACGACGAACGACGATGGGTTTCGATGAGTGAAACCCACATTGCGGTTGGCCCGAGACGACGCTTCAGATGGTACTGGCGGTGTCTCTAACCAACGAGTTATGACGTCGAATCGATGAAGGCGAGCTGACGCATTTTTATGATTTTGCACCTAACGATGGTCAAATCGGGTGATCTGAGGGTTGGGGTTAGATCGTCAGTCACTGCTGAGCTCAATGGCGACAGTGGTGCTCTTGGCCGCCGAATGAAGGTTAGCTTGATTCAGGTTTGGGATTTCACTAGGGATGGTTTGGTGCCTGATTCACGAACAGGGGAAAGAGGTTTATTTTTCTCTAACCCAAATTTTGGTAAAATTCAAGGTTTAGCCCATAAACTCCCTAAAAGTTCAAATCTAGCTGCAAGGTTCTGAATCTTTCAATTTAGTCCCTAATTTCATTAAATGTGGGGTGTTACATTGGATTGTGATATGAAATGATATGTGAACATACATGTTTGAATGAATTGATAACATCTTTTATTGAGAATTTTGTTAGACGTTGAATATGTTATTTATGGTTTGATGAATTACAAATCACTAGTTATATATATATATATATATATATATATATATATATACACACTATGTTTTGCAATACATATGTTTTATTTTTACTATTATTAAAATTATAATGTCTCACTAAGTGTATACTTAACGTGTGATGATTTTCACAAGTAGGAATATAAGAGCATTTAAAGTAAGGAGCTAGGCCCAACATCAATTTTTGAAGATCAGATCCGCTCCAGAATCAATATGATATCTTTTTGAATGTTGATAGTACTAGTTGGCATGTATACTAAATGGTTGTGATACTTAAATATAGTTATGTTTGAATTTGATTTTGATGGATAGTATTTATTTTTATTGTTTATAAATAAAAAACTTTTGATTAATATTTTAGTTAAGTGATTTTAATTACTATCGAGACGAAATATTTTATGATTATTAATAATGATTTTAAAAAGAAATAAATTTTAAATTTTTTTGAATAAACACCGTATTAAAAGAATTATATGGCATCTTGGACTTGTATGCAATAAGAAATGAGTGTTACAAAAAACAAAAGAAAATGTATTATAAAATAGAGGAAAACATGTTATACAATAAGCTTATTAAAAATAAAAAATAAAAAATAAGAAAAAATAAAAAGACTAAAAAAATATCGATGGTTGATTAAAATTATAATTAATTCTGTTATTATCCATAAAGACAAAAAATGAATGACTTACTAATGAAAATATTATGAAAAAAATTAAAAGATAAAATTAGAAGAGAATTTTTTTTTAAAAAAAATGTTAAGATAAGCTATCTTTTTTAAAAAGTGCCCGACTGTCGAATAAAAGTATCGTGCAACATACATAAAAATCACTTTTTAATAAAATTTTGGACCACCTTTCTGTAACTCTGAAGTATCCAAGAGACATAATATTTGACTTATACCTATTGAATTATCCATACAATTATATGTTATGATTTTATGTCATAAAAAGCTGTAAGGTATTTAAATATTTATTATAACAAAAAAAATTACATCAGATACAATTAAACCTTTTAAGCATTTATACTATTATTAAACTTTCAATTTTTTCAATTAGAACAATAAAATTTTGATTTTAGTAATTTTTTCAATTATAACACTAAAATTAATTTTCATATTTTTTTCAATTATAACACTAAATATTTTTATTTTAGTATTTTTTTCAATTATGAAACTAAAATTGATTTTCGTATTTTTTAATTATAAAACTAAAAAAATTGTTTTTCGTTTCAATTGGTTACTCTATTTAACTTTCAAATTTTTAATTATAATATTAAATTTTATTTTTCGTTTCAATTTTGATTTCCTGTACCATCCGTTTCAGTTTTGATTTTCGATAACTACGGTAACGTCTGTAATGTGATAGATGATTGTCACCACAACGACAAGTCAAAGCAAACAAGCATTTGATTCATTTACATCTGTATTTTTTACTAACAAGTCCCAAGTATTATTGATATATTATATAGAGTACTGCCTCCGACAGTACTAAGATTACAACAGGACAACTTAAAAACAAAGTAGAAACAACTACATCCCCAGAGCATAAAAACTTTGCTCATTTCAGTATTATTTTTAGTAGGATCGATCATAATGATCACCCTGGTTACCCCTAGTGTTCCTTCTTGTCCCTTGATTGTTAGGGTCCCATGTCCCACCAATGCTTCCCCCGGTTGTTGAATAACCCAATCCACCCTCTGTGTCTCCACCATACCCCATATTCATATTTTCATCCGACCTAACCTGCCTTCCCAAGTCATACCCAGTCCCAGTATCTGCTGTGGAGTACCCACTGCTGGCGTCATATACGCCGCCGCCTCCATAGCCACCAGTCTCACCTCTGTTATGGGTGAATCCAGCACCACCACCTGCCCCTCCAATGTTTCCCCCAGTTGTTGAATAACCTAATCCACCCCCTGTTTCTCCACCATACCCCATATTCATATTTTCATCCGCCCTAACCTGCCTACCCGAGTAATACCCAGTCCCAATATCTTCTGTGGGGTACCCACGGCTGGCGTCATGTACGCCGTCTCCTCCATAGCCACCAGTCTCACCTCTGTTATGGGTGAATCCTGCACCACCACCACTAGGGTGGACGTCATGTATGCCACCTCTGTTGTGGTTGTGGCCATCTGTGGTGAAGCCAGCACCACCAGTTGGATTGACATCATGGATGCCGCCTACCCCATAGCCACCAGTGCCACCTCTGTTGTGGTTGAGGCCATCTCTGCCTGTGGTGAAGCCAGCACGACCAGTAGGGTTGACGTCGTGAATATCGCCTCCGCCATAACCAACAGTACCAACACCAGCACCGTGGCCAGCGTTATGATGGCGAGCCCCCTGTTTCCTCATCTCTGCATCTTCTTGTCTATATTCTTTCCTTTCTCTAGCCCTCTCTTTCTCAGTAGAGTTGACGTCATAAATATCGCCTCCGCCATAGCCAACACCAGCACCGTGGCCAGCGTTATGATGGCGGGCCTCCTGTTTCCTCATCTCTGCATCTTCTTGTCTATATTCTTTCCTTTCTCTAGCCCTCTCTTTCTCAATAGGGTCACTCGTCTTCATTTGGTCCACCTAAAACACCATCATACATTTTACGTTATTATATGTAATACTCGTAATAACTACAATACTCACCATATCCACAATCGTGTGATAAACATAACGCAACTGCAACCGTAATAACACATGAGAAATGAAATGAGTAAAAATGAACCTTTTCCTGCATGCTGGCCTTGGCCTTTTCCATGCCGGCCTTGGCGGAGGCAGCTGCACCCTTCATTGACTGCATCTTCTTCAATACACCGTTGAGCTGACCTATGCGTTAGTGTTTGGTGATGAAATTTGATACTGGAGGTGCAACCATTAAATAAGAACAAAATGATAGTTCAGGAGCTGACACGCATGCTTATTTAACCGATTCAATTTGTTACACGTTTCGGACAAATGGCAATCATGTAAGGCGTTGGGTGTTTTAGTCTTTACTTCTAGAGACAGGAGAAGATAAGGTAAGATAAGAAGGCCACGAAGCAGTTAGCTGCTACGACGGTGCCTTGTGTTTACTAAAAGATAACGTGCTTGTTTCCAAAATTTTAATTTTCTCATCTTAAAAATAGAAAGTAGGTAAAAATTATAATTTTTTTCCTTTAACACTTAAGTTAAATTTAATCATTTTTTTAAAATAATAAAATATATTTAACTCTTATGAGGGCTTAATGCATCCGCTACTGCTTCCATATATAAACTAATTCATGAAAAAGACAAGTATTAAAGGTAATATTTTTTTAAAAAAAGTTATATTCTTATATATATTTTGAAAGGTAATAAAATATTTTGTATACAAATGAGAGTATTAAAAGATTTTGTTTTTAAAATTTTAGATCAATCACTATCAATCAATAATAATGTTTTCCAAGATAGTTGTTTTGTGTGATAATCTAATTTAATTTTAATTTATGACCATTTTCAACTTAAAATGTTATCTAATTTAACTTAAAAAATAAATAATTTATAACATTTTTGTAAAAGAAAAGTTATATTGTAGTGGGTTTAAGGTTTATAATAAAAAAATTATACAATTTTATTGAAAACATTTTGATATTTTGATATAACAAATTAAGTTAAATGAATTTTAAGATTTTACAAATGATTTTCTAAGGTATATTCGAATTAATCGGATATCAAATTATTACTCAAAGTCTTTCAAGATCAATTTTAATCCTTACTAAATGTGTAAAATTGTGATTTGTACTTAAACTATTTTTGAAACAATTTTCACAAAGTATTTTGAACCAAAATCAAGCCTTAAATCAATTTTTCAAAGGCATGCACCGATGCATCAATCCATGCATCAATGCACCATTGAATAAATTGAACATCGAATGCATTTCATGCATCGATGCACTCTCTATGCATCGATACACTTGGGTTTTATTAAAACATAGAATGCATTTCATGCATCAATGCACAAGCAATGCATCGATGCACTCAGGTTATTTTCAAACATCGAATGCATTTTATGCATCGATACACACTTGGTGCATCGATGCACACTTGGTGCACCGATGCACTAAGTGTTCCAACGGTCAAAATATTTGAATTTTACACTGATGCACCGATACACTATGGTCATGCATCGATGCACCAACGCTCCCAACCAGTTTTATTAATTGTTTTCACACAATAACGGCTCTATTGACTCCACTAATCATCCCCAACGTTAAGAATCATTTGAAGGTGTATTTAAACAAGCTTAGAAGCCATTGATCAACAACAAGAAACATTAAGCAACTAGAATCAAGAGAGAATCAAAGAGAAAGCATCAAAACTCAAGTTTGAGCATTTAAAGCCTATTTTTCATTCAATATTCATTTTTCTTTCAAGAACACTTATTGTGCTCAATTGTATTTATTCTTGAATGTTCTTTCTTTGTTCTAGAATTGTGCAAACATATTTGCCTTGTGAGGTTTTTTCTTGTAAGTTTGCAAATTTGTAATATTCTCTTTGAGAAAAGAGTGTTCTCAAGAATTGGGGTATATTCTTGAGGGAGTTGTAAGGTTATCTCTTTGGCCTCAAAAGAAAGAACAAATTAGTGAATTTGTTGGAAAATCCTTAGTATGGATAGCTAAGGTAGTTGACGTAGACTTTGGTTGATAAAGTCAAACCACTGTAAATCATTGTGCAATTACTTTCAGTTTTCTGTAAAAGCTTCCACCAAAATTTTTATTGCCAATTCACCCCCTCTTGGCCGATTCCATCGATCGATTAACTCAACAATTGGTATCAGAGCCTCACTCATTTGAAGGTTTAATCGCCTTTTGAGTCGATTCGGGAAGAGTTACATCGATTATCAAGTCATCAATGGCATCTGCTTCAAATTACGACTCCGGTCTCGATTCGATGTCCGTCAACAAGCCTCATTTCTTCAATGGATCTAACTATGCCTATTGGAAAAATAGGATGATGTACTTCATTCAAGCAAGTGACATGGGAGCATGGAATGCCGTAGAAGAAGGATACATCAAGCCTCTCACTCATTCAAGGTTGTGGAGTGAAGGAGAGACAAGAATGTTCCAGCTCAACTCCAAGGCCATCCATATCATATTTTGTGCTCTTGGACCAGATGAATACGGAAGAGTTTCATCTTGTACAACCGCCAAAGAAATATGAGACAAGCTTCAAGTCACTCATGAAGGTACCGATGAGGTAAAGAAATCTAAAATTAGCATTCTAACGCATAGCTATGAAAATTTCAGGATGAAATCAAATGAAGATATCAAAGCTATGACAGATAGATTTTCAACGATTGTCAATGGTCTCAAATCATATGGAGAGATCATTTCAAATGAAAAGCTTGTGAGGAAGTTAGTCTACTCTCTTCCAAAATCGTGGCAATCAAAGAAGACAACAATCATCGAGTCTAAGGAACTAACGTCCTTAACTCTTGAAGAGCTAATCGGTTCCCTTCTCACTCATGAAATGATGGTTGAAGATGAAGTGGACCTCGATAAGATTGACGAGACACTAAAGGAGAAGGAGAAGAAGAAAAACATTAGAGTTGCTCTCAAATCCACAAAAGATGAGAGGGATTCGAATGACAATGATGATGACGATGAAATGACATTATTCGCCAAACAATTCAGAAAGTTGATGATGCCTAACCGAGGAAGAAAATTCAATCGCAATGAAGGCTTCAAAACTGAATCAAATGAGAAAGACCCGATCATTTGCTATGAATACAAAAAGTCGGGGCATGTCAAATATAATTGCCCACAATTGAAGAAAAAGGGTTAATCCAAAAAGAAGCACAAGGTTCATGTAGCTACATGGAGCGATGAAGAAGGTTCCGATTAAGAGGAACAAGAAGTTGCAAACTTGTGCTTGATGACTATCGGGGAAGATTCTAAGGTAACCTCTAACTCATTCGATTCAGATGAATTATCTTATGATGAGTTATTAGAGGATTATAATGATTTGGCTTCGGATTATAAGACTCTATTTTCAAAATACAAAAATGATATTTCAAAATTGAAAAACGAAAATAGTCTTTTATCCAGGACCAACAATGAGCTTGAAAGTTAGATCAAAGAATTGCAAATCAAAATTAATGATTTTGAAAAGAAAAATACTGATTTGCATAACTTTCTTTCAAAAGTTCATGATGATCATCAAAAGAAGATTGATGATCTTAAAACTTCTTTTAATAAGGTTGGTACAAAAAGTTTTAAAAAATGTGAGAATTCAAAATCCAACTTTGTTAAGAAAAGTTTTAGAAACTACAATCATAGAAGTCCTCAAAGAACTTCAAATGGTAAAATCATTAGAAGTATATGGGTTCCTAAAGAACTCATTACTACTAAAGATAAAAATGTCCTTCATAAATGGATACCTAAGGGGACAAGGATTTTAGAAACTAATGAATATGGACCAAAAAGAATTTGGGTACCAAAAATTAGAAATTAATCTATGTTTGTAGGAAAATGAGCATTGCTACAAGGCACGGGAAACATATCCAAATTCATGGTACCTTGATAGTGGATGCTCGAGACACATGTCCGGAGACAAAAGCCAGTTCATAGAGCTTAACGTCAAAAATGGAGGAGAAGTGACTTTTGGTGATAATTCAAAAGGTCACATTGAAGGTATTGGTACTATAGGCAATATCTCTTCCATACAAATTAAAAATGTGTTATATGTGAATGGATTAAAGCATAATCTATTGAGTATTAGTCAATTATACGATAAGGGATTCAATGTCATGTTTGAAATTAATGGTTGTAAAGTCATTGGCATTGCATCTAATCTGATTATGCTTGTTGGTCATAGAATAGGAAACATTTACATGGTGCATTTAGATTCTATTAATGTGACTAATTTATGCCTAGTTGCTAAGGATGAGCATGATAGTTGGTTATGGCATAGGAGACTAGGACATGCTAGTATGAGTGTTTTGCAACGACTAATTCAAGGTGATTTAGTTCGAGGGTTGCCTAAGCTAAAATTTGATAATGATAAAATCTGTGATGCTTGTGCTAAAGGAAAACAAAAGCGAGTTTCTTTTAAATCCATTAATGATGTATCAACTAGTAGAGTATTACAATTAATCCATATAGATCTTTTTGGGCCAACTAGGACTACTAGCTTGGGTGGAAAACATTATGTATTTGTCTTGGTAGATGACTATTCTAGATATACTTGGGTTCTATTCTTAAGTACTAAAGATGAAGCATTAGAAAATTTCACCACATTTTCAAAAGTAATCCAAAACGAAAAAGGTTACTCTATCACTAGTGTTAGAAGTGATCATGGCACTGAATTTGAAAATCTTGGATTTAATGAGTTTGTAATTCTAATGGTATTAGCCATAATTTTTTAGCACCTAGAACCCCTCAACAAAATGGAGTTGTTGAGAGGAAAAATCGAACTTTAGAAGAAATGGCTAGAACCATGCTTTGTGAAAACAATTTGTCAAAATATTTTTGGGCGGAAGCCATAAATACCGCTTGTTATATTATTAATCGAGTAATGATTAGGCCATTTTTAAAGAAAACTCCATATGAAATTTTCAAAAATAAAAAGCCTAACATTAGTTATTTTCATCCTTTTGGATGTAAATGTTTTGTTTTAAACAACGGTAAAGAAAATCTTGGCAAATTTGATGCTAAAAGTGATGAAGGAATTTTTCTGGGTTATTCCTTAAATTTTAAAGCTTATCGTGTATTTAATAAAAGAACTTTAGTTGTAGAAGAGTTTATGCATGTTGTTTTCTATGATAATCCCCTTCCGAGGAAGGATTCTTGTGTTAATGATGATGTAGGTATTGTACAAGCAAATGCCGTTAGACATGAAGTCAGAGAATC